ACAATAAATTCAAAAGTTCTTGAGATCTGCTGGAAGTTGTATTTTCATATTCTGATGCTCTCTAGACATTTAAAGGACATATTGAAGCATTGCGTTTCCTTCAGTTTATTCTTTAAATGTTCTTTGCTTGGTCTTAAAGTCTTAAATTTACCTTCAGAAGCCTTGAAGTGAAAAATAATATGAACAAAACAGAAGAAAATGTATTTTGGCAGGCCTAGTCAGATGATCTGGTGGAACGTGGATCAGGCCTGAATCAGTGGCTAATGTGAATTGACTTTTTTCCCCATCATACAGAGAAGATGATCAGCAGTGAAGTTTTGGAGGGAGTTCCTCTTCTTGTGCTGGCGAACAAACAGGACGTTGAGGTATGAACTCAGACCATCTGTGTGAGAAAACACGACTCAGAAAGATCTCATCCTTCTGGGACACCTGTCATCTCCCAGTGGTCTGTAGGTGGTGCTGTGCTCCTTCATTTCCACATTGAGTTGTAATGATTGCACTGCTTGTCTTGTGTTCGTCAGAACTGTCTGTCTGTGTCCGACATTAAGACGGCTTTCAGCGACTGCGCTCCCAAAATCGGTAAAAGAGACTGTCTGGTGCAGCCCTGCTGTGCTTTATCAGGGTACGTCTGCCTCGTTTCACTCATTTATTATTCAGTGGAAACCCTGCTGCGCTCAAGCACTCCAAAAAAACATGACGGTGAAGTTATGAGAAAAGCACAGAAAACAACAAAAACTCTGTGTGCAGCTCAAGATCATTCGCTGATGAGTTGGTGATTTATATAGAATGTTTGGTAGCACTCTACTTAAAGCCTTTATGTATAATGCATTATAAAGCTATTCATAATACACCTTGTAATGCATCATATCATTTCATTAATAGATGTAACCAAAGATTAAATGTATCACAATAGCATTTAAATAGAAGGTTTGTCATGTTTTTTTTTTAATGCATTATATACTTTCTAAAGGTGTAACAGTGTATTATAATGCATTTTAACTGTGGTTACAATCATTCATGAGCTTATACACTGCATCATAAAGACACAATTAATGCATTATAAGCTACTTTTAGAATGCATTATATATAAAGGTTTTATGTAAAGTGTTACCGATGGTTTTTATATATTTTAACTTTAGTTGATATTTTGTTGGCAGTGTAAAATAAATCATGAATATTGCAGTGATTTTAAAGCATTGCCACAATTCCAGTTTTGCACTTGTTCCTTTACATCTTGCGTGTGAGAGTGTTAAAAGAGAAATATTTTAATACCATTTCAGATTTAAACCTTTGTAATAATAATGCTGACAGAATTGAGAATTTTACTTCTGCAAATAAGCTCAAAGCTCAGATTCAGCAATTAATTCACGTCACATCTCTAATTGCAGAAGTTTGCATGTGCAAA